CTCCGAGGGGACACAGAATGTAAATCAGAATGGTCCTGCCCCCCCCCCTCCCGGTTCAGATAAAAAGCATGATTTAAAAAGCAGAGACTGACCAGGGACCTCAGGTCATTAGACATTCCACTATCAACCTCATTTCATATCAAACCAAGGTATGATTCTTTTCCTCCTTTTAAAACAGAGAATGCAAGGAGAGGAACTATTACACCAAATCACTTCCTCTCCCCAAAGCAAAAGGATACCGGTACAATACATAGGAACAGACTCCTTTCTCTACAACTAACCGAATACTAATCCGTCAGGCAGCACCAGAATAACGATTTAGCTTTGGGAGGCCAACTGGCAGTTCTGTGGTTAGGGGATCCAGATCCCACCTGGCTGACGAGAGTTCAAAATCTGGGCGCAAAAGCTTGAAAAACACACCAGGGGCAAGTCCGTGTGTAACCAAACTCCCGACATGATGGAGAAATGGAGCAGAGACTGCAGCATGACTAGACCCTACTGGTGGGTGCTATCTGTCTTTCTCTGGTGAGCACACGAGCCCTCTGGCAATTAACAAAAAATAAATAAACGACCTGGCCGCATTAATTATTAATTTTTTAGAGTTGCTTACTTTCCATCGCCGTCGACAAGATCAGAAAACAACCAACTCTAAAAAAATTAATAATTAATGCGGTTTATTTCCAAGCAGAATATGAGCAAGGTAGGCCCAAAGAGGAGGTAAAACACACATTTCTCTCGGGTGGTCAGGTACAAGGGTCTTTTTATTTGATTTTGAGAGAGACAGACAGAGTTTGGGATTTAGTGAGAAGTTTTTTCATTGGTCTGGCCCAAAAAGGAGGGATGTGGGGGTGGGATGGGGGACTTGTAGGTTATAGGGGGGTTTTACAGTCTTTAGGGTGGTGATTGGAAAAGGAAGGTTGCTGAGATCAGAAAGGAATGTACTTTAACAGTGATAAGGAGACTTAAATATATACATCACAAAGGTATTCCAATACTATGCCAAGGGCAGGATGTAGGAAGAATCCTGTTACTAACTGGCCAAAATGGCCCTTCAACATCTGTGGGTGTGACTCCCCCTAGGCCCTCTGGAAAGGACTTTGGAAAAATAGGAAAGAGCAGTCAGACTTTCTATCCACATGACACAGGAACAGGGCGCAGGAGTGATCAGGACCAGCACCCGCAGTGGGACACGGGTTCTTGTCTCACACTCAGGAGAATTAGAAACGTGGACACATAGAGGGGTTAAAAGTGGAGAGTTTATTAAAGGAGGTAGAAGACCAGAGCATCCAGGAAGAAGGGAGGAGCCCCGAGATAGGTTGGGTGGCCACCTAGTGGCTTGGGTTCCAGGTTTGTATCTCAGCTGGGAGGACCCACCCATCAGAAAGTGAAAGTGCTTTGCCCCGTTTGGTAACTGTGATAATGCTTTTACATTATTTGTGTGTCCTGGATTAAGTCTGTCCAGATCTTTCTGTTCTTTTTGAAATTAAATACCATTATCAGGAGTATCTGCATGTGTAAGGGTAGAAGGAGCAGGGTGCCTGGCCCAGCTGAGTTTTATTGTAAAGGGCCATGAATTCTTTAAGAAACATCTGTGGGACCAGTAGATGGCGTAATGGCTACGTGACTGGACATCCATGTAGCTGACCTGGGCGACCTTGTAGTCCACCAGTTGAGTTCCGGATGCGATGGCTTAAACTCACTGGCTTAAACTCATGCCAGCCCAATATCCCAAGAGGATAATGGAGGAGAAGGGATTGTGGCATAGCCAGTCACCCGTGGGGGTTGATTTCTTGCTTTCTGTCTCTCTGTCTCTCTCTGTGTTTCTGGGGAACACACATGCCCTATAGCAAAAAAAAAAAAAAAAAAAAAAAAACTCTAAAAAATAAAAAAAGAAACATCTGCATGTCTAAGGGCAAATGAAAGGGTGACTGGGAGAGGATAGGAATTGCCAGGAGTCACACATCACAGATTTTTTTTGGGGGGGTCCCCTTGCCCTACCTGCCTGTAAATAGTGTCTAAAGCCTGCCTCCATAGCATTCAACTTTATCTTACAGAACACGGCCTAAAAAGTGGGAAACTATTAATGCAAGTCTCTGAGGGTCCTGGAGTGGTCTCCTGAAATGGCAATGTTGACAGGAGTGGTCAATGTCTCTTACATCAGATGGAGAGGATGGGGCAAGGCCCTCCCCAACATATCTGAATACAGCTCCCCCAATCCCACCCCACCCCCCAAAAAAATCGCTACACATAGATTTTTGTGGAAATTAGTCAATGAACTGATTTGCTGAGCCCAGGGAAGAGAAAACAGGCAAGAGAACAGAAGGGAAGCAGGAGCACAAAGCACAGAGTGGCCTGGGAAGTGAGCATCCACTGGAAGTGGGAGTGAGACTTCCTGCCAGGCCACCAACTCCCAGAACCACAGGGCAGAGCTCAGAAGGAAGTATACGTGAGACTTCCAACCATGCTCACCAGCTCCCAGAGCCACAGGGAAGAGCTCAGGGGGAAGTGCGATGAGACTTCCGGTCATGCTCACCAGCTCCCAATACCACAGGGCAGAGCTGAGGAGGAAGTGGGGTAAGACTGCCGGGCCACCAGCTTCCAGCACCAAAGGGCAAAACCAAGAAGAAAGTGTGGATGAGACTTCTGACCATGCTCACTAGCTCCCATCAGTCAAAGGGCAGAGCTGAGAAGGAAGAGTGGGTGAAACTTCCGGCCATGGTTGCCAGCTCCCGCCAGCACCGGGCAAAGCCAAGGAGAGAGTATAGTCAGATATGTGGACAGAAGTCTGACTACTTTTCCTATTTTCCAAAATCTTTTCAAAAGGGACTGGGAGGAACCAGCAGTTAGCGTAATGGCTATGTCACTGGACTCCCACATAGTCGACCGCAGTTCGCGTCCCAGACCTGGTGGCTGAGAACTCACGCCTGGCACGTGTGCGTGCGTGCCCAAGATCCCAAGAGGAGAATGGAGGAGAAGGGATTGCGGCGTGACCATCCCCCCTGGGGGGTGATTTCTCGCTTTCTGTCTCTATGTCTCTTTCTGTCTGGTGCGCGCACGCGCCCTATAGCGAAAACCTCTCAAAAAAAAAAAGGGACTGGGGAAGTCATGCCCACAAATATTAACAGACCATTTATTTTCTATTAGCAGGATTCTTCCTATCTCCTGTCCCTAGCATAGTATCTTTGAGACATATATTTTTAACTGATAACAGTGTATTCTTTTGCTTATCTCTTCCCCAAGACACAGAACTTCCCTTTTCCTTGAGATGTAGATTAAGACTTTCTTTAACAGGGAACCAGCAGTTAGCATAATGGCTATGTCCCTGGACTCCCAGGTAGTCAACGCCAGGTGGCTTAAAACTCAGGACCAGGTGCATGTGCGTGCGTGCCCAAGATCCCAAGAGGAGAATGGAGGAGAAGGGATTGCGGCGTGACCTTCCCCCCTGGGGGGTGATTTCTCACTTTCTGACTCTATGTCTCTCTGTCTGTCTGGCGAGCACACGCGCCCTGTAGCGAAAACCTCTCCATAAAAGAAAAAAAAGACTTTCTTTAACTAATCTCTTTCCAAGACACAGATCTTCCCTTCCAATCACCAACCTAGGAATTGTGGAACCCACCTATAACCTACAAGCCCCCACTTCTACATGTAACACCTTTTGGGGCCAGGCCAATGGAAAATCTCTTCAGTAAATGTTGTCTGTCAATCTCAAAAACAAATAAAAGGAACTCCTGTACATGATCACCCCAAGAAAGGCATGTACGCCTCTTCTCCAGGCCTCCGTCACTCACATTTGGCTTGGAAATAAACCACATTGATTAATAATTATTAATTTTACAGTTGGTTATTTTTTCCATCAGCAGATACTTCCTGCCATGCCACACGCACTAGTTTTCACCAGTCCATGGGGCCAGGTTGAGATGGGGTAGCTTTGTTTCCTGTCCAACTGCCCAGAACTACCACCTTGGGAAGACATTCCAGGTCTATTCGTAAATACATGCTCCACCATGCTGGGCAGGGTCAGTCCTCAAACATGTTCGTGTGCACCTCTTCCTTCTTGGTAATTCTTGCCAGGAATTCAATCTATATACATGATAGGAAGGAAATAGCGCAATGGCTCTGTCTATTCAACCCTGGGTGGATTACTTCTATCTTCCTAGGTCTCTGTTTTTCACCTGCCACCAATTTCTCCAAGTAAAAATCTTCACAAGCAGTACCCTTATGTGAGAGGAAGTCAAAATGACTAAGGCTTCCTCGGGTTTATCTAAAGTTCATCAGAGTTCTATTTATCTTTATAAATCTATCTTTTCCACAGTCTGAGATGGTCAACAGTAGCTGCCATTTGCTCATTTTGTTCTGCCCTCCATTAAAAAAAAAAAAATTAAAAAAAAAAAAAAGCCACTTCCCAGAAATCAAAAATAAACCATTCCTCTTTCTGTGCTGGTAAGCTGGGGCTCAGCGGGAGTCCTTCCTGCTGCACCTCATCCTTCCTGGAAGG